TTCCCCGGTCTTCGGCAGTTTATGAATCATCCCCACTTCAGCCACTCCCCCGGTCTTCGGCAGTTTATGAATCATCCCCACTTCAGCCACTCCCCCGGTCTCCGGCAGTTTCTGAATCATCCCCACTTCAGCCATTCCCCCGGTCTCCGGCAGTTTATGAGTCATCCCCAATTCAGCCGTTGCCCCGATACTCTGCAATAATGTATGGATCATCCCCGCTGCAACAGGAGCCCTGCTCGCCTGCGTTATCTCCTATCCATCATTTAGCGTCATCATCTGGTCGTTTAGAGTCAGACACAAGTAAATCGTTGAACGATGTGTTTGCTTTCAATGAGCCTGACACACCATACTCCCCTGTCATTCTCTCTCCTCGAAATCAGCATCAAGAAGACGACGACGCGTCCAGTAAAAGTTCAACCGCCAGCGAAGCCACTCAAAATTTCTCAGACTCAGATATGGAATCAACTTATTCAGACAATCTAGACAGCTCGTACTTTACAGAACCTCAAGTTCGGCCTAAACCCTTGAACACTAATACTAAAGGGGAGGAGAAGAGAAGCAAACTTCTCTCACGGGCAATACATTCCTCTGCGTTAAGAAAGGTCGCTGCGTTGGAACCCTGTTGTAAGAAGAAGTGTTCTGACGGATATTCAAGATCAACGATTAAGGATAAAAGGACGGACTACTTCAGTGCACCGTCACGAAATGAATGGATAAAACAAAAACTCGGGAGCTTTCAGGTCGGGAGTGACAAACGGGCATTCCAGTTCAAGGTAAACGGTTCTGAGGTGTGTAGAGAGGCGTGGTGTCGAATTTATGGCATCAATAAAAACACATACTACAGGGAACTGAACAACTTCAGGATGGGGCTGGAGTGGGCGGGACTACGACAGGGAAGATCTTTGTCCAGTAAGTGTATAAGCATTTCCGTCTGGTTTGGGCACTATGTCGCGATTCATGGGGACAAAATGCCGCATAAGGAAGAGATATGGCTGCCGTATAACACCAGAAAGGTTGACATCTTCAACAAATACGCAGAAGATTGTGAGGATCGCTCAGAGCCGTACTGCTGTTTACAGTCCTTTCTCAACATGTGGAAGACCTTCTATCCTCACGTCGCCATAAAGAAGGTACGGTTACGATTCTACGATGATAATGTTGCAGGTATTTTGTATTCGATTCTACATTACATGGTAACGTTGATATCATAGATAGATTTTGTTTGTTATACGATGGCATGTATACACAGCGAAAGCTCTACAACAAAAGAAAGCTTTTGCTTAATTTTTGTTACTTTGATTGAACACACATTTATAGAATGGTTGATAGAAGAAAATTAACATTAGTGGGGTCGTGTGGCGAGGTCGGTAGCGCGTTCGGCTCACACCTGAGAGGTCGTGGGTTCAAACCCTGCCCATGTCACCGATCTTGTGCCCTTGGGAAAGGCACTTTACACGACTTTCCTCACTTCAGTCAGGTGTAAATGAGTACCTTGCTTCGGCTAGGGACGTCCCTCGGATAGGACGTTAAATGGAGGTCCCGTGTTTGGGAGAGCCACACCCCACGCACGTTAAAGAACCCACCGCACTTATCGAAAAGAGTAGGGGACCTTCCCGGTGTGCGTGGTTCAAGCCTTACAGCCTGGTCTCGGGGTTGAAATCTTTGAAGAGGTGATAGTCACCTGTTATGTCAATCCTTCCACAAATGTGGTAAATCGTCATAAAATAAAATAAAATAGAAATAAAAATGCTAATGTTAACAATTAATATTCCTATCTTTATTTCCTCAACAGTGCAGTCTCTTTACAAAGTGCACGATCTGTGTACGTCTGGGGCGGGACCTCGCAAAAACAAGGGACCCTGTGAAGAGAAGGAAAATCAAGTTGAAGAGACAGGAGCACGATGCAAGACAAATGTAATTCCTATCAGCGGCTTAACTCATTTTGCAAACATTATTATATAATTAAAACGTCCTTATTTTGCTGAGTTCCATGGTTTTGGTGGTCAGAGGCAAATCATTTGTAATTATAATCATTTTACATCTTAGTCTTAACGACTTTAGATTTGTGACTTTAGGTATCAGTTATATGACTTTAATATTTTAACCCTTGTAGGGCTGAGCGACTCGCGTACTATCAGCGGCGGGAAGCGGCCAGGCAGGAGCCTGACAAGTACCTCAGTCTGATCATCGATGGTGAGTAACGTCCCCTTGTCCCTTACGAAGACTTATACTGTAAGCAAATTTTTCAGGACCCCACCCATCCCATCTATCACATATAAATCTCACACATATACAACATGTACCAGTTTTATTTTGATTTGTTATTTGTGTATATGTATCGGTGGTTCTGTCAAAATTACAATCAGCGACTGATTTTGTACACCCACAGGAATGGACCAGGCCAAGACGTACTTACCGCATTTCGTTGGAGACAAGTCAAAGGTACGAAGAAAATATCACATTCATACGCATCCATACGATAGTATCTGTTACACTGAAATTTGGCAGCATATGGATATAGATTTAGATCATACTGCCGTGTAAATGTACTTTTTCGATATATCAAAATGATAGACAGGTTTTAGAACGGCTCAAATGAGAAAACATACTAGCCATTTCATTCTAAACTATGTCCACTTATAGCAAATCTATTTGAAATTTAGAATCAGACGTTAGTCATAACTAGTTACTGTCAGTTTCTAGACTCATCCTAAACACAGTATACAATACGCCATTAATAATATGCTCCAACTCTAACCATTAAAAGTTAAAACATAGTTAATTTCATAAGCTGGAGTCACACTTGTTATGCTTCGGTCCCAATTGAAAAAAGGGGCCCTGCCCTGCTGTTTTTTTTGCACTTTCGGGCGTGACCCGTACGTGGCCCCACGGGACACCCTGTGGCTGCGGCTACCGGGCTACCCGCTACCCGCTGACAAAAAGACGCCGTGACCTCATTGCGAGAACACCGAGAGGTACCCTTCCGGTTGCTGGCAATCCCCCGGGACACATTTGGTACGCCACAGACCAGATGAACAGAATAAAGGTGTTTACTTCGTAAACCCGGGTAAAATGTGTGACGTCACAGATCAAATGATCACACATGATGACATCGTCAGAGAATCTGCCAGGTGCCTGCCGAAAACTCAAAAAATTTAAAAATTCAAAAACTTTTGGTCCCTTTGACGGCCGGTTTCTGTTCGGGACCCGTCCGGTACCCGGTAAGTCTCCCGCCTTGACCCGTGCGGGATGCGATGGGTGCCGACCGGCTCTTACATTCCGGCCGGGTAGCTACAGGGTCACTGGCGGGGTCCAGGGGTGATCCTGGCGGGTTCCTTACTTGTACGCCTCTGGCTGGTATAATCGGTTCGCCCCTAGTTTATCACTATGACTCACTGATGATGGAGCCTATGTGGAGTACATAGCTCCATCATCAGTTAGTTTCCATACACGGGATGTGCATAAACTAGGGGCGAACCGACCATACCAGCCCGGGAGCCGCCAGGATCACCCCTCCAGGGACCTAAAAGCTGCCCGGCCAAACTGTAAGAGCCGGTCGGCACCGTACCGCATCCCGCACGGGTCAAGACTGACCGGTCATCAGACGGTTTCCTGACAGAAACTGGCCGTTAAAAGACCAAAAATTTGTGAATTTTAAATTGAAGCCGCCTCAGCGCCCCGACAGGGAGCCGTAAAGAAACATTTAATTCTGACCCTGACAGTCGGCGCACGCTCAGGCCCCGGTGGGGATGTAACTCCAGCTTAATACACACCCAACATTTAGTGATTCAGCCATCCGCGCTGCCCCTCCTCCATGCATTTCATGCTCAATGGCTTGGTAGCATCATAGCATAATAAGATCGACCCCTTTCTCGTTAATTTTTTTAGTTCGTTTTTTGTAATTCTTTATAAATACTAAATAAATAAATGTGCAAAATAATAAGACCTGTCATATTCCTTGTCGAAGGACCTAACTACTGCAGATCTGATGAAAGTGCATGTATCAGGAATAATAAGCCACGGTCACGGACTGCGAGCCACCTACGTCGATTTCTTTGAGTACAGTCATGACTCAAACCTGACCTTGAATCTGCTGTTGAAGCTACTCGCAAAACTTTCGACGGTGAGTGTTTTTTTATCATTCTACTTTTTCCATAGCACTGCTTTTATTCATACAACGTAAGTGAATGGAAGGCTTGTACAGATTACGCTTTGACGTTTTTTTTCCCCTCAGGGAAGCCAGTTGCCTCCCATTCTTTTTATCCAAGCGGATAACTGCTACAGGTACCGTGCGTTGAAACTTTTTAAACAACTAACAATACGTTATTTTTAATGTATATCATTTAAAAATCATGGTATACATGATGTCAAAAGAAGAATCCCCACATGTAAACAGTTTACATTTCATTAGGCCATGGGCACTTCTCTAAGCCATTGAGAGCTGTTACTTTACTGTGGTTATATCCACATAGTGTTAGACTATCTAAAATCTGTGGAGATATTTTATGCAAATGAGGGGAAAACTGACCAATCCCATTCTGATTTCTAATTGCCAAGAGGAATCGGCCCAGACACATGTCTGCTCATTTTTGTACAGTCTTGACAGCCGTGGCAAAATGAATTAACCTTGAGAAATCCCCTCAGTGGGCAGGGCTGAAGATGCACACAATGACCTAGTACATCCCATCAAGTAACTATTACATTTAATCCAATGGATCAGACAGGACCATTGCGTTACGTTTTGAGTTGGCTAAACACGTACTGTGTAAATTATTACATTGCGTACTACGTTGGCTTGATTTATATACCTAATGAAACTGTGATCTGGCCAAAAAATCGGTGACGTTATTGTTATTTCATAGGAACGAAAAGAAAACAATGTTGTACTCGAGTAAGGATAATTTATTTTCGACTTTTCAGGGAAAACAAGAACAAATTTATGTTGGCGTTCCTGGACCTGTTGGTGCACAAGAGGATATTTCGCGAGGTAGGCATGTATAAAATCATCTAATTCAAGTAGAAAGCTGTAAATATTACATTGTCTTTGAAATATTCAACGGCTCATTCACTTATTTCTGCGCAACTACTAGTATATCAATGTACACTTTCAAGGTTGATGGTACTGATGATGGTACTGTGAAAGTTTGGACCTTGTAACTAAATGTGTGTGGGTCTTTCAGATACAGCTGTCCTTCCTGATGGTTGGACATACGCACGAAGACATCGGTACGTAGTACGGTTTATTTTGTTATAGTATCTGGGCAATGCAAGTTCCCATGTATCACGTAGTACCAATGTTACCGGACAATAATAATGCAGGACGGAAGAGCCGATTCATATTTCATGCTTATGGTGTAACTTTTTTTACTGTTTTCGTTTGTATATACTAATATGTTTCGTTTTTCATTGATCTGGCTTATATAATAGATAGAGTACGGCTAACTACGTAGATGTAGAACTGACCCGCCCACCAATGGGATTTCATGTCTCCGGAGGCCGAGGGCGAGATGAAATCCCCGAGGTTGGGCGTGCAGTTCTTAATCCACTTATTAGAGTTAGAATACTTCTAGGTCCCCGAAGTTGATCAACTTCACCTACTGGTACTTGATTTTGCTTTATACATCTTTGTTTAGTGCTCGTAATTGTCTCTAATCAATGAGTTGTTTGTCTGTCTATCTGGCCGTCGTCAATCAGGCTAGATTGACAGCCAAACAATTCCGAGAAGAATCAAACCATGTGTGATGGCCAGCCGCTCGGTCTGCTGTGATTCTCCTGGGAAGAAAACATTGCCATTGGTCAGCTTTTGTTTCCATGGATACAACAGTGGGCGTCTACAAGATACTTAGTCTAATTCATTCGGTTAGTTAGAGCACCTCTATCCCTAGAGATGGACAAATTCCAGCTCACTCGTTGGCTGAGAAGAGGGTGGATGGTTAGTTAGTGCACCTCTACCCAAAGGGAGAGAGGTGCACTAACTGACAAGAAGGCTACTATGTGGAAATAATCACTAGAAATACAGGCTCCCTATTGGTCGAGGGGACCTAGCACTGCTCTAATGGGATGTTATGCAACTACTACATTTTCCGCTTTTCAAAATGTATAGACCACAATGCAGGAAACAACGTTGTGGTGATAATATGACGAGTATTTGGTCATTTCGTTATATTCATTTTGTCTGCAGATCAGATGTTTAGCCGAGTGGCCGACAAACTCCGCCATCAGGAGGCCCACACCCCTGAACAACTGATAAACATGATGCCAGAGTGTAGCAGGCTTAGGGGGCTTTATAATATCCGCGACTGGCTTAAGCCTTCTGTTTCGATGATAAAGGGACAATCCCAGCCGGGCCAGTTCCGATTTCGTTTAAGTAAGGATGACCCTGATAGTGTAGATATGTTCTATAGGAAGGGACAGGGTCAAGATTGGAAAAAACTGAAAACTGGAATGTTCAAAAGGTCCAAAGAATCTGGGAAACCTATTCGGCCAAAAGGAATTCCCAAAATCATCCCTGTATCATTTGATAACAGGAACATAAACGCACAGAAGCTTATCAACGAGCAACTGCCTAAGTGGGCCCCGTATCTTGGTTGTGACCAAGAACATTATATGTGGGAGCAGCACCTGAAACAGATGGTCAAGGCAGGCAGTAGCGCTATTGAAATGGCGAAGTACTCTAAAGTCGGAACCATGTGGGCCCTACCCAAGCTCCCGAAGTACCCAGAGGAAAGCGTGGATGAAGAACCAGCGGTGCCTGATGACCTGAGAAGGCTACTGGAAAAAGAACAAGAAAACCCTGAGGTAACTCACAATGACCTTTTAATATAATGATAGCTTTATTTTATGATATAATATTCTTGTTAAATGATGATCAATAGCATCAACAAAGAATCTGTACAATTCCTACTGTGCTAGAGAATTTTGGCAACTGATGTCATACCTGAATAATATCATTGGCTTTTATGGTTTAAGAGCCCCATATGTTATTCGTATTTGAATTGACACCATATGTTATTTTTGTTCACAGATCACAGTATCGGGAGCAAGCGCTGCAGCACCAAGAACCACTACAAGGAGGGCACGCAGAAGGCTTGTGGATTGAGAGTTGTGACGGACAAACCGCCTAACTGTAGCTACGTCTCTACTGTGTTGTTTTAGTATAGAGTGACCCGGTTGGGAACATCTGTAGCCATTGCATTATGTTTTTTTGTTGTTGTTTTTTTTATTTAGAAAAAAAGCATGTCCAGAAATGCGGCACTGTCATATATATACTGTCATATATACTGTCAATCAACACCATGAAGTTAGTAATGCTATCATGGAGGAATACGTTGCGCCAACATTCTATCTCAGTATGTCAGAAAGTGTTGTGACATCTATTTTTGCTTGTCGGATGTGTGTATCGTGTACGTACATACATATTTCCGCCACCCTTATCGATTTGTAAAACTGTTTTTGCTTCACTGATAGACATCACCTTTTTCTACATTCAAGTAGTTTCTGTACACAGTTAAGGCGACGTTTAGGATTGGAAGCTAAATGTACGTAGCTTTGTTGTTGACCTTTGTGACAATCCCCACCAGTCCCCTGGGCCCAGGTTCTAGCAGGGCAAACGTGTTCACCACGATAAGATAGCATTTGTTTTCTCTTGCTCAGTTTAATATATAACTAAGGCATCGATCCGTTTTAAACTGTTTGGATTGATAACGCATTTGGTGTATTCCTTAAACTCTCTTATTTTTTTTAATATTTTTTTGCTGTTGTTGGGGATAAACCTTGTATCCATTTCTCAATCAATTGAAGTTTTTAGGAGTGAAACTACTTACTAGTATTGCACAGTAACAAGGCAATTTATGCAACAGATAGTCCTACACCATGATATTGAAGACAAGTCTGTAATAAATTTATCGCCCGACGTCGTATGCAGATAACGTGTGCTTTCACTTTTTCCAGTTGATTGTTCCTCTCAACCTAACACACACACACACACACACACACACACACACACACACACACACACACACACACACACACACAAACACACACACACAGAGGGAGAGAAAGAGACAGAGAAACACACAACCTACTACTAGCTAGTTATGGCGATCGCCCATAGTCTCAACTCAGGACAGCACATGGCGATCACGCTGGCCCCATGTTATAGCAAGTGTTCTATCATTCAAGTTGTGTTTTAATATTTGTTAGTATATTTCAAATCTAGGCATATTTTTTTCGGTCCTTCTTGTTTTTTCGCCCTCTTGCATTAGATTTAGGGTCTCCAGAGGATATTTCGTATGGGTTTATGGATTTACACAATGATACACAGGGATAGGAAATCGTTGAGGTTCAAATCGGGACATGTTGAAAGCATAAAGACTGAACTTACAGGAGCAGTGTTTGATCCTTAATTTTTTGTCCGCAGATCAGATGTTCAGCAAAATAGCAGACAAACTAAGATATCAACGAGCGATCTATACTCTCTACTGAGTATTCACCAGTAGGTGGTGCTGAAATCATTATACATTGCATAGTGCGTTTTTGTCAACGTTTGTCGGTCTTGAGTAAAATTACTCAGAATGCCTGTCTTGAGTAAAATTACTCAAAGTTCCCTGTCTTGAGTAAGATTACTCAGAGTTCCCTGTCTTAAGTAAAATTACTCAGAATGCCCGCTTGAGTAAAATTACTCAGAATGCCCGCTTGAGTAAAATTACTCAGAATGCCTGTCTTGAGTAAAATTACTCAAAGTTCCCTGTCTTGAGTAAGATTACTCAGAGTTCCCTGTCTTGAGTAAAATTACTCAGAATGCCTGTCTTGAGTAAGATTACTCAGAGTTCCCTGTCTTGAGTAAAATTACTCAGAGTTCCCTGTCTTGAGTAAAATTACTCAGAATGCCTGTCTTGAGTAAGATTACTCAGAGTTCCCTGTCTTGAGTAAAATTACTCAGAGTTCCCTGTCTTGAGTAAGATTACTCAGAATGCCTGTCTTGAGTAAAATTATTCAGAGTTCCCTGTCTTGAGTAAAATTACTCAGAATGCCTGTCTTGAGTAAGATTACTCAGAGTTCCCTGTCTTGAGTAAAATTACTCAGAATGCCTGTCTTGAGTAAAATTATTCAGAGTTCCCTGTCTTGAGTAAGATTACTCAGAGTTCCCTGTCTTGAGTAAAATTACTCAGAGTTCCCTGTCTTGAGTAAAATTACTCAGAATGCCTGTCTTGAGTAAAATTATTCAGAGTTCCCTGTCTTGAGTAAAATTACTCAGAATGCCTGTCTTAAGTAAGATTACTCAGAGTTCCCTGTCTTGAGTAAGATTACTCAGAGTTCCCTGTCTTGAGTAAAATTACTCAGAATGCCTGTCTTGAGTAAAATTATTCAGAGTTCCCTGTCTTGAGTAAAATTACCCAGAATGCCGGTCTTGAGTAAAATTACTCAGATTCAGAATGTCCGTCTTGACTAGAATTACTCAGGATGCCCGTCTTGAGTAAAATTACTCAAAGTCCATGTATCTTCGCCTTCCAATTCCAGAAATCCACCCTACATGTCTGAATAATCAAAACTCTCTATGAGGAAATTTACTCAATATGTCTTGAATATCTAGATATGAGTTTCTTGGATTTCTAAATAACCAGCCAAAACGACTGCAATTCCGTAAAATTAAAAACTTCATTTTCTGAATCTCAAGTCGAAAAAAAGGGAATAAAATGGATTTTCCCTTATTATTTTGGATTCTGTTCTACCAGCAATCATGTGAGACTGGTGAGGGAAATGTACCTCCCAGCAGTCGTGTGAGACTGGTGAGGGAAATGTACCTCCCAGCAGTCGTGTGAGACTGGTGAGGGAAATGTACCTCCCAGCAGTCGTTGTGGCATATCGCTGATCAATACTTCGATCCTGCTGTCAGTCCCAGATGAAAGGGCTGCCACCCGGCACCCACTGTCAAAAAAATCTGGCCAACGTGAGCACAGTCAGGTGCCAGTTAAACAGAGAATGTTTGCACTGAGGACGTTTGCACCAGTGGTATGTATTTCCGGTTTCATGGTGCACTAGCTGAGTCAGGGAGCAACCTAGTCCCAAGCTCATGTCTAAGGGTCGGGGACTATGGTGGCATCCAGTATCAGCCTCCTCCACTCCTTCCTGTCTCTGGCCCTGTGAGAACACTCTGTGAGATGCCCATCCATTCACGGACAGAGTCGCACCACATCCTTCATGGTCTTCCACGGCTCCTCCTTCTGTTGATCATCCCTTGCAGTATATGGGTGGTGATGTTCCCCGCTCGTGTGGCATGACCGAAGTGTTGGAGTTTCCACCACTCCAACTCCCAGCTGTTCTATTTTTCCTAACACAGTCATTTGTGCGGTGATTTGTCAAGCTAATGCGCAGAATCTTCCTGAAATGTACACTGATCTCGTGGCTACAGCTGACCTGACCTTAAGTAACCCTGACCAGCTGAAAGGTAGACCGATAAAAACGCGTGGCAAAAGGAACACGTCCAAAATAATAACCCAAGGCCATTGGCCATATACGCAAACATCTGCTTGGAGAGCAAATCATGCCTGGACCAACCCGGGCCAACGTCTCGAAACAGAGCCGTACATTGCAAACTGTGTTTGTAAGTAATGATTACTATGGTAAATAATGTACACTATCGATGAAAATTTTAAGTATGGGCGTTTTCAAGCCCCTATGTAACAATTAGACTTAATCTGTTGTACTTAATCTGAAGATTGTCGGTTGTGCTCATAAATTTTAGCAATCGCGACCACCAGCGCGCGCTCGTTTTTAACACAGCGCGCCAAAAATCTTGGGTTTCCTTGATCTCGGCAAATCTGGGTAGTGACGTCACGTGACGTCACAGTAGGAACGCCCACGGGTCAGAGAGGTCGCCGACGGGTCAGAGAGGTCGCCCAAAATGGCGGAAGCCATGGAAGTTAGTGGAGAGCTCGAGTGGGGCGACGCGTACGGCGTTAGGGGCGTTCAACCTTACCAGCTTGAACCAGAGGCGGAGGGAGAAGACGGGGATCCAGAGGCACCAGATCGCGTGGACCAACGCCAAAAAAGTCGTTGACAAACCTGACATCCCTCTCCGGGTCGCGAAGTTCCACCATCCTGAGGCTCCCAGGGCAGGCGTAATGACTTACGCCCAGATTGCAGAGGAACAGTGGATCATGGTGGGGTGGGTCCGGCAGACGGATCGGCAGGCAGTGGAAGACATGACGGGTGGCCAGCTTGAAGGAGTCGAAGTGCGCCTCAGGGAGGCCTATGTCAAGCGAGGCTATGTCGTTCTCAAGATTGAGTTACTCATGGAAAACTGACCACCGGCGAAATGATTATCATGGCAACTATCCGTAAAATATATGTTTTAACTAATATATGTGTATTAGCGTTGTTACTTTCCTGTATATCTTCGTACTAGTATTAAGGCATACAATAAACGGAAGCTATCGTGCGTTTACTGATTGTCAAACCATAATAAGAAATTTCAAAACGACGTGTATCTAGTTGTTTCTCCAAAATTTGATGTTTTTTTCACACGGCGATAAGCTATATTTTATCTATTTATTTTTTTTCGTTTCTCAGAAAGAGTCAAGGGTTCGCAAGACCCCATCGTGGTTGCAACAGTACGAGACAGAAGAGCCGATGGAGGAGGAGGAGGAGGAGGGCTAGTTCAGATATGAGCCATATCTGTCAGACGAGCAGTCTGCGACAATGACCGTGACGCAGCGGGGGGCGCCATAGCTAATGGCGGGGGAGAGGAAATCGAAATCCCGATGGATTACCAAAGGATTGGGCATACGCCATGGTAAGTAAGGCTTACATTTTTTTCTTTGCATGTTTCTCTGATAGAATAGAGAGTACACGCTATAGTGAGTGGTACTTGTGTAAAATATTACGATTTTGTGACCGTGAGTTCACAATGCTGCATGTGTAAATAACCCCATAACAAATAACCCCACATCCTATTAAATATCATTGCAATGTACCTACTATCACACAGATATTTGGAAGCAGTCAAATTTTTCTTGAAGAAATCATGTTGCTGTAATATTACACAAAAACCATGCTGTTCAGAAATCAACCCTTTCCTTGTTTACTCTACAGGACTATCAACACAGTAACACAAGTATGGGGGTGGCTCATGGAACAGCTAGGGAGCCATGCCTGGACTGGAGAGCCCCACAACACCAGAAACAGGGTAGTTGATATGTTTCATGGTGAGACTAATGACCAGTCGCAAAAAAGAGGGTTAGAAGGCTTCGAATTGAGAGCTGCCATGCTGTTTTCAACACATTACAGCGGTCCCACAGCGGCATGAAGAGCCCAGAAAAGCAGCTTAAGTGTATGCTTGAGAAACACCTGGTGTCAGTTACACCTAGCAGGGAGGGTGGGGTACCACAGCCCAAACCATGTGTACGATAATTAGCATATCACAATTGATAATACAATGATACAAGTATGTACATGGACCACATATGTAGTACATGGATAACATTTACATCATAACCATTCTAGTTTACAATGTTTACTAACTCGTGTCCCTTAACTTAGTTATGATCACTGTACTATGATCAATACCATTGTCAACATAATCTGAAAATATCTGAATGTTGTTAATGTCTATATCAGCAGGAAATAATTGTACACAAATGGTTGATGCCATATTTTTTCTGTTTTTTATGACATATAGTGAGTGATCATATACATACATTCATATACATACTGTGCATCCTCGGGCTGGTTACTAGAGATCATCATAAGTCAGGGTATTTCATTAGTTTTGATCACGAGCCAATTTATTCATTTATGGCCTGGTCAAGAAACGGCAATGACTCAGAGGTCATCACACGATGAGGGGGGGGGGGGGCTTGGTCATGATCTAGTGATCTAGTTCTTGTCAAAGTAAGGCATTTGCAATTATAGCCAGTCACCATAAATGAGCAAGCAGTTAGATTTTTTTTTTCTGGTCATGGGCAGGCAAACGCTGTCCGCAGCCAGGGCGCGACAGCTGTGCCGG